TGTACAACCATACTGCCATGCATGTGGCTGTGTGTAAACACCACAGCAACATATAGTTTGATGGTTTATGGTTGGACCCCAGCTTCCAGTTGGATTTGAAGACCTTAAGGGTCTCTTCCAACCTAATTGATTCTATACCTCCCCCCACGTGACCTCTAGTAATTCCATGATGATGTATGGACTTCACACACACTGGCAAAAACCTATAAAACCAACCCAAGAAATGCAACTGAAGAGGCTGTTTGCAGCACAACCTGCACATCTAGCAACTGTCCTGTGATGGCTTTTCCTCTCCAAACATAACCTCGCATTGCATGTGCCCTCCTGGCTGCTGTTGGCAAAGGAGATCATTAAAGAGAGGAGTGGATCACGTTCAGTGTTACATATCAAAGGTTTCTAGGACCTCAAGATTTCTAATGGTCCTGCCAGAGATTTTTTTTTTTTTAATTTCCCAATATATTTCTTTTCTAAAGAGATTTTTTTTCTGAGTCAAGTTGCCCTGCTTAACTGAAAACAGCAAGTGGGAGAAGACACCACTGCTCTGTATGTATAAAGAATTATCTCTCCTCCCTTTTTTTTTTTGGAGAGCAGATTGGATAATCTTTGGATGACCCAATGGATTTCTGGAGGGGAGCAATGACAAGGATAATAAATGTATCCTCATGTCAAGACAGACTTGGAAATTTATTCTAAACAATTGCTACAGCAGCTTCTGGCAGAGACCTGGGTATAAGCAGGAGAAATGAGATCTTGGCCCATCTGCAAAGCACCACTGGCTTTAGCACTCACAATGAAGAGGGGGAGGGGGGGAAAAAAAAATCCTTTTGGGTAATGGATTAGTTTCTTTTTCTGTATTTTTTTTCCCTTCTCCTCAGTAATTCCAACAGCTTCCAAAAGTGGCATCAGTGCACGCAGTGTGATTCCTTTAGTAAATGCTGATGAAACCCTTTGCTCCGTGTGCTCTCGCCTCTCCCTGCCCTCCCCACGAAGGGTTTTCACGTGGGTGATGCCCAGGGTGGGGAAAAAGACTCTGTCGAAGGCTGCCCTCTCCTGTCCTTCCTCACTGCTGCTCCTGCCAGCCGAGCAGCACTGGTCCTGCACCAGCACCAGAGCATCCAAAGATGGGAACGGAAAACACCCCACCCAAGGGCACGGGGGATGGTGGGGGACACCACCACACCATGATGTGTGCTATGGACTTTCAGGGGATAAAATGTTCCACTTAGAGTGGGCTGGAAGAGTGCAGCTCCTTCACTGGCGTGCACCTTTGCACGTGATGTACAACAGGGGCAACCCGAGGTTCAGTGCCAGGCGGGGTCCTGGCAGCATCGCTGACGTGGTGGCTGGTCCCCTTTCAGCCCTGGGAGGGGAGTGACAACTTTCTTGGAGGAAAATGGATATTTCCATGGCTGTTGCATGAAAAATGAGCTCCTATTAAACCATTCCCTGAAATGTCTTCCTTGGTCATTTCACAACGTTGTTTGTATTTTTTAGTAACAGCCATCAAGAGACCTGAGAAACATGGGAAAGTAAATAAATAAAGAAAAATAAAATACCCTAAGAAGGTGTTTTAAATATCAGCTTTCATTTTTCAAGACTGCTGTAAACAGGAAGATGGAAACAGAAGTGGATTTGATGGGTGAAGTTATTGTAACATGACAACTGATGTTTAAAAGTCGTATTTCAAGGCTGCAATTCCCAGAGATTACAGCTATGAAATAAAGCTTTCTTGCTAACTGATGGAGTGTTTCCTTCCAGATAGAACAATTTACCTGATATCTGAGGTAAATAAAACCTACCCATTAATCATATTTTACAAGTACAGCATGTTAACAAGAAGGCACAGGCATCATGCATGTAGCTACACAGGATCCTGGGCAGCAGAACACGCATGCTGTGCTCACCTCAGTGGGGAGCAGGGCAGTGCCCTTCCACACTCTGCCAGTGCCTGAGTGAAATAAAGCCCCATGTAAGAAAAGCCAGTTCCTAAACAGAACATTACCAAGAGTGACAGCAGTGTGGAGTGGAAAGGAACAGAAATACCTTTGTTCAGATCAACAGGTCCTAAAGGAATCACACCTAACCTGTTACTTCAGCAGCAGTCAGGAGAAAAGGGCCATACAGCCAACTCAGCAGGTCCTCAGCAAGCTCAGGCTTTATAGGTGTGGGTAGTTCTGAGGAAAAACAGTCTCTTCCCCTTGCCTTGTATAGATCGTGCTGCTCCCCACGTTGTCCTGCAGCAAGCAGGGGCCACAAAGTCCCCTTCCTTTATGCCCCATGGCTTCCTTGCTTTTTTTACTCAATGTGGCATCAGATCAGCCCAAGGTAGTAACTGCACCTTGCACCAATTCAGATCTAGCAACGCTCAGGAGATAAGGAGCTGTTTGCACCACGCTTTCCTTTGGAGCAAACTCTTCGGTGTCCGATCTACTTTCTACTAATCTACATCCCTAAATCCCTAGTGGTCCTTGGAAGGCTCCTCCTGTGGCACTACCTCTCATCCCTCTTGGAGAAGCACCTTTAAAATCCCAACAGCAATTGCATTGCTATGTCACATGTATATAAAAAAAAAAGGCATTTAAAAATATGCAATCTGATGTGGGAAATAACAATGGAGGAAGAAAACAAATCAGAACATCATGTAGATAAATTTTGTCTAAGAAACAAAAAACTCGAGACTGCAAACAAATTTTTGTCAGTTCAGTCATTAAAGCAAAGTCCATATGGCTTAAGAGAACAGTCAAAGTGCACAGAAGGCAGTGGGGGTTTGTTTGCTTTGCACTCCTCTTTGCAGTAAGCTCCACGTCATTCTCTTTGGAACCCCTTCTCCATCCCACACACATCCTACCCAGGTGCAGAGAGGGGGATGGCTCACGGGGTTTTGGCTCACCCCCTTGTCTTTGCACATCCCTTGTGATCTAATGAGTCGTGGCTCATCATCCCAAACTCAAAAGCCCTTAGACACACCCACTGGAGTTTTTGGTTTTGAACATTTTCTTTTGGGAGCCTTTGGAGAGGAGCAGCAATCCAGTGCCAGAGCTATCCAGCACCTGCATGCACCGAGAGCAGCAGTGCTCAGAGGCAGTGCCAGAGAGTAAAAGCAGTTCTGAGATTGTCTGCCCTGCCTAAGAGGCACTGAAAGGTGACAGCAGGGCTCAGCTTGCCCTTGGACCTCAGCTGCTCAGGTGAGATGTCACCAGGCTACTTCTAACCAGCCCCCACGGGCAGGAACAGGCAGACACTGTAATCAATGCCAGCTTGGTCTGAACAACCTGCCTTGAAGCCACCCCCCCTCAGTGCCACAGCTGTCCCACACCCCTCCAGGGGGGACAAGGACAACCTGCAGTAGTAACGGTGCCCACACGTCCCCTGATGAGATCTTAGCAAACAGCAGGATACCAATTTTCCTGGCTGACCTGCACCCACCTGGGAATGCCAGAAGCTGGCATGGCAAGGACTTGCCTGCTTCCAAAATTCACCTTTCAAACTCTTCCAGTAAGAAGTCTGGTGATACAGAACTGTTTCTAGGCCCAAGGGCTGGACTTGGATTCTTTAAACTCCTGATAACTTCCTTGTGAGTAAACAATTTGCTGCTAAACATGATAGACTCAGGAAAAAGGACAGAAAAGAAGAGAACAAAAAGGGAGCTATACAAAAGGATGGAAAATAAACTAAAAATCCCCTCTCTTCTTTCCAAAGGCTGTAGCTTCAAGTGCACAAAGGGTACTGTAAACGTGCACAAGGTAATTCATGACCCTAATGCTCGAAAAACCTGGTTAGCTTTATTTGGAGACACTTTGTTGCTTCTCCCAGATACAAAGCTGAAAAATCAATAAAAGGCACCTGTGGACACCCCAACTCGCCCAGTCCGTGTGGTGTGTCTTTGGACTAAAAAAATCAAATCAAACAAAGCCAGCTACCCTGTACTTTTTTTATAGACCAATAAGCAGCACTGCAGAAGCTGGGTGAGAAAGGATGCTCAACTTCTATTGACAGGGCAGGATAACTTTGATCATCAAAAACCTCATCAATTAGTAGACTCTCTAGCTTGTCACTGCAGTCTTAATTGAAAGATTCCTCTGGCTTGCTGGGTTTTGTCCTCTGACTGTTAAAAATGATCATTTCAAATGGCACACGCAGCCCATGAGGGAGGATTAGAGCCACACCAAAAATAAACCGACCTTGCATCTGAATTCTTGGCACTTGCCTCACCCACTGCTGCCTATGGTGATCTTTTGAGCCATCTCCTCTTCCAAAGGCCCCGGAGCTGGAATATTTAATGAAAGCAGCAGGTCCCATTTGAACAAGAAAGTAGAACAGGTCAGTAATTCAGTGTAAATACACCAGTAGTGAGCCTAAAGCAGACACAGTGACACATCCGAGCCTAAGTTGATCAGCCAGTGCTCCTAATGTGGGGAGCAGCAATAAGAAGAGGAGAGAGGAGGTGTCTGCTTTTCACATAAAATTTCTTCCTTTTTCTGTGTTTTCCTACTTGACACCTTGATGATAGGGAAAAATTAAAAAGAAAAAAAAAAAAAAAAGAAAAAAAAAAGAAGAGTAGAGAAACAGGAAGAAAAAGGAGCCTGGGAGGTTTTATGTTTTCTCTTCAAATCACATCACAAAGTCACTCATTGCATCTAGGGAATTCACCTCCTTGTTTGGGAATGGAGGGGACAGGAGCAGGGAAGAGAAAGAAAGAGGGAAGAGAAGGGCCTGGGAGCTGCTTCCTGAAGCAGTGTTACAAAAAGCAGTTAAAAAACCCCTACTATTCACAAGTGGTTAAAATCATCGCTTTGCAGAATTCCACTGTTTTTTTTTGTTTTTTTCCCCTTAAACAAAGGATCAGCTCCATGTTTTTTGAGTTGATTGTCTGCAGAAAAACAAAAACCACCCCAGCCTCATCCGTTTCTCCCCTGACAGGGAAGTTCTCCACCCCCAGTTCAGCACGACGGGTCCCCCCAGAGCCGCCGGTGCTCCGGTTGTCTCCTCCGAGCCCTGCCTCAGACGAAGGAGGAGAACCCTGTGACTGGAGTCCGGGAGCCGGGCGCGGGCTGTCCCGTTGGGGTGTACACCCCTCCTGAGCTCTGTGTGGTGATGACAGTCTGGAAATAGGGCTCTGTCTCGCCGGCGGCACACTCCTCGTATCTGTAGGGCACGGGGTGCTTCACCCCCTTCTGCTGCCGCTTCCAGGAGTTGTAGTAGGTGGGGTCGCTCATGTAGTGGTTCACAAAGGAGTGCTTTGGCAACTCGTCTTCATAGTCCGAGTCAGTGGCCTGAAGAGTCAGGGGAAAAAAAAATATTAAAAAAAAATCAGCCATGAACATCTAGGATTTGGCCTGTTCCACTCTGAAAGAAATTAGCGGCAAGTTTAACATCACCAGCTGACAAAAGCTGTGGTGTTAGGGTGGGATGGGTTGTAACCCAAGTGTAACACGTGCTGGACTGCAGAAACACATTGTGCTCTTCAGTCAGGCTTTGCTCTAGAGGGAGAAACCCCAGACAAACACTGGTGCAAGAGATGCAGAGAAATCCCTCCTAATTCACTGCAGAATGCTGCAGCAGGGGTTAGGAGTTCCTGCTGTGACAGAAGATGCAGGGAAGTGTGGAGACATCCCAAGGAAACTGACAGCTTTTACTCAACACGACTGCAATTCCACTTGCAGTGGAGAACACCTTCTGATGCAAGGAGAGAAACGTCTTCCCTGCAAACAGGCTGAAGTTAGCCAGACCTGCTGTTCTCTGTGGTGGTCACACCAAGCCACCTGCACAGTACTCTGAGCTTGGCTTGCAAGCCCCATTAACTATTGAAAATTAGTTGTATCACTGAAAGGGAATTAAGCAAAATCACAGGTGTTTTTTTTTTTATTGTTATTTTTTCAGGCAAACAACTCTATCTGTATCCTCCAGCTGATTATGGGTAGCACAAAAGGTGCACAACCAGCAGTGATGGAAGAAAGGTAAAATGCAAAATCTGGACAAGAGAAACTGCCAGGCAGAGGGGAGGTTGCTTTCTTGGGATGGTTCAGGCACAGCCCTGTGTTCAGAGCGTATCTTACCCCTGAAACATTTATGCACAGTGGCTGGATAGCTTCAAAGCTCATATCAATATCGAGCGGGAGCTCTACTGAGATATAACTAGATAAGCTTTGTGCATCTGCCCCTCCTCTGAAGTGCTGCTGCTGTGATACAGCTGGAGGAATCACAGAGGGCTCGTGCATCTCCTCTGAGCCCAGAGACCACAGAAAAGCCTTGGCTGTGGTATCCAAGTGCACATTTTCCTTCTGTTCCCACTAATGTTCCCACCAGTAACAGCCACATCCCATACAGCGTACAAACATTTACCCGGCTGTTTCCCTAGCTCATCCCTCCTCTCAAAAACCTCTGCTTTGAGTAGGCAAAAACTTTTACTCCTTTTTTTTTCCCTCCCCTGATAGTCTGCATAGCTGACTCTAAACGCAATTAAATATCAAAGTAGTAGCTGCCTAAGACACAGAAGAGAGAGATGGGTAAGTGCAGCTCGTAACTGTTAGTTGCTGCAATTAGTTTCAAAAGGTTGGTATCGTTCTGATCTATGACACCACACAGCACACACACATCCTTCTTGATCCTGCCTGCCACACAACGAGTCTCTCCTCCTCTAAAGCTCCTTCTTAATGGTCTCTGAAGAACAATCCTCAAATGCCTTGCAAACCATCATTTGAAAAGGGCACTGCATCCATCATCCCACGTCTTTGCTTAGAGAGCTGCTTCGGTACTATTCTGTGCTGATTTTCCTGCATTGAGGGTCATGGACAGAGTTGGGAAATTTTTCCCAGAGTTTTCCAAAAGTCTGAGCAAAGCAGCTCTTTACAGCTCTGTAAAAATTCCCTTCCACTATTAGCGTGCTTTGGATCTTTCAGAGTTATGTGTCACTTGATTATTTTATGTGATTAATATTATAACACAACCCTACCAACATTTAATAATAATTCCAGAAGGAATGCAGCAAGTCTGTCTCCTAGAAGAACCTTCCTTGGCACCAGCTGCCAGCCTTGGGAAGCCAACACCCGTCTCCCACTGAAGACCTTCCTGAACAGGTGTTTTTTGCTAGAATATCCCCAGCTTTGGACCAGTTCATAGCCAGTGGGTGCAGAGAGCAGCTCCAGAGCCTTGGCACTGCTGCAGGGACCATCCTGCCAGCACTGTCCCCTCTGGTTTTGTAAGGGGCTCCAACAGGAGTCCCTCTGATGGCTGCAGATGGGCAGCATGGCAGGGCACGGCAGGGGTGATGTGGGCATCCAGAAGAAAAGTCTTTACATCCTAGGTGGAGGCATGTGGTTATGGTTCAACTTGCCAGAAGCAGCACCTGAAGGTGTGAACTCCTATCATGGGCTTGCTCTCTCCAAAGGCACATCACTACCAACTTTGCTGTGTCTTCTGACTCCTGCACCCCACCGTTACTGACCCAGACACGCTCAGCCACCCCGCAAAGCAACAAACCTCTGATGAAAAGATGGGTCACAATGGAGTTGAGGTGTCATAAGCATAAGGAGAAGAACCTCAAATTTCTAGTGGCTCCTTACTGGTCTTCCTGATGTCCCCACAGACATATAAAAACATAAAGACAACTAGAAGGCTGGAAGCTCTAAGAAGAAAAGCTGAGAAGCAGCTGTATCCAGAAGACCAATCCATGACTTGATAGGCACAGTAATACTGATGCACCCACTTGATTTCTGCCCATCGTTAGCAGAAAAACGTTAACCCACAAAACTCATATAATTTTTGTACCTAAGCCAAGTTCTTTCAAGACTGCCAGAAGTCAATATTATAAAGAGGAGAAATACAGGGAATACTTTTAGGTGGGCTGCTGCCATTTGAAATATGGTGTCACTCGGACTTGCCAGGAACAGCAAAAGGGAATTTAAAGCAATATCACCTACTGATAACCCATCCACTAATTAGTCCATTATAACAAAAGAAAGAAAGCACTAATTCAGTGTAAATCAGACCAGGGCTTTTCAGAAGTGACTTCCATGAAACAGATGTAGCTGCACTAACTCCAGCCTTTCACCATCATTAGCACTGATGCTGGGAAGGATAACCTACTTGTCAGTGTTGATACAACGTGTTTGCTTTGTGTTTCCTTCAGAGCAGGCAGGAACTGACTATTCTGTCCATGTCCCTTAAGTATCTTCTAAGGTCTGCTGTGTACAAGGTACTAATAACCACTCTTACCAGCAAGGAATTCTTTGAATTGCCATTCCACATCTCCCTCTGCCCTGATGAAAATCAAGGAGCAAGATAAACCTGTTTTGCATGACAATACAAACAGTTTACACTGGAAGATTACTTTTTAGTGGGTTTAAAATCATTGAGTAAATAGAAATGCTGCAGGGCTTTTTGTTGTGTTTTCAGTTTTCTCCCTTCGGTGTGGCTGTGGCTTTGTTACCTTGGAAACCTCCATAGGCTGGGGTGTGATTGGGTGTGTGGTGACATTACAGACTGTCAACCAAAGGTACATGGATGCCTGTGAAACAACAAATACAGAAAATGAAAGGCTATTTAAGCAGGTGTTTTGATAGCATAAAATGCACAAGTGTTCAGAGGCAAGTTTGCAACCAGAGTTGGCTAGCTCAGTCAAAGGGGAATTTGAAAATGGTTCCAATTATAGTCTCCTTTTAAAGTGACTGCATAAGAAACAACCTTATGAGATTATTTCTAAAAATGCAGATGGCAGCAGTTTCTTTTGGTTCAGATGAAATGAATATGCTGTAAACCAGACAAGGTAACCTAGGAGGCAAATGGATTTCTCTGGATACAGGAACCCTTGCCTATTTAATGTGTCACCTGCAGCTGGTTTCCACACGGTGCCCAACTTGTCAAAATCATTAGAGGACTTTATTGGAAACAAGTTAAACCATATTCCCTGTTAAGTGTTAAGTGGAAATTTATAGTATCTTCCTACAGAGCTGAGAAGGCAGAAGTCAGTCAGAGTGCAGAGAGCAGCTGGGAAGACCAGAGCACCACTGGCATTCAGCACTGGCTGATAACGTGTGCAACCGGTGAGAACATCATCCCCTGAAAGCTGTTTTTGGGAATCCACAAGGGCATCCAAGAACAAACACACACAAAGCATCCTCCCCTCACGGGAAACTGCTCTTCCATGACTGGATGTATCATCAAATTTCTGTACATGGTGAACACCAAATTTCTTCAGATTATCTGTCCAAGGCCTTGTCCACTTGACTCATTATCTAAAAGCCTATTATTATTAATCATTTAGAAATTACACTCTTAGCACTCTCTTGCTCCATACCTGCCAATTAAGCTACTTTAGCCTCATTAACAGTACTGGTGCTTGGCTTTCATGACATGGAGTAAGTTAACCACTTGATTTATGAATATTAAGAGTACTGCTTGGTCTGCTTGATTTTCCCCTTGTTTCTTCTGCTCTCCTGATCAGGAGGGAGCTCGAAGGAAGGCTCCCAGGCAGCCGTAAGTGCAGTCAGTCAGCCTGAGAGTTTCTTGCAGTCTCCTTCATGTTCAGTAAACCCCATGAGACATGAAGCCAGTGAGCTTCCTTCTTTTCTATATAAAATCTTGACACCTCAGGCAACGGGGGTAAGACGAAGCAGCAATAAGATGACATGTGAGTTGAAAGCAAAAGCAGTTTTTGGCCCTGCCTGCCCTTATGGACATTGCATTGAGTGGAGTTTGAGATCCACACAAACATGTATCAGAGGGAAACAGCATCAGGAACACCTTTGCTGCAGAGGACCAAACCTGTGTAGAGCTCTTAAATAAAAAGTTTTCTTTAACTCCTCATATAATGGGAAACATTTCTGCCTGCTGAGAGAGATGGACATTCTGAAATTCTCAGAAAACAGAGCTTCTCTGGTAAGATCTCCTTTGAGAATAGAAGCAAAAAGAACAGAAAAGACAAACAGGAAGAGCTAATAGGTACAGAAATACTTGAAAACAGAGTGGTCAAACATCCATTCCCACCTCTCACCTCCCATCTGTACCAGCCAATGTAAACAGCATTTTCAGGCTGATCAAAAGGCAGCATCTCCTATCGCTGCCTCTACTGGGAGCATATTAACATTTCATGCCTAAAAGCACTCCCCACCACCAAAACAAACAAGCATCAAAGACATTACACAGAAGGGCTGCCGATCTAAGCCCCAAGGAAAAAGAGGAGACACATTTTGTTCACATACCCACTTGCATACCCAGATTCACAAACACACTGGAATCTCAATCGAGACCTCAAGGCTCGATTGCAATACACAGTAAATAATATTAATAATAGCCTGAGAAAAAGTAACAAACCCCACTTTCTTCTGGGTTGTACGAGCAGTGCATAGAGAAGGCAGTAATGACACCCTGCGAGCAGCTTTCTGCATTACTAGGGAACGCCACACGGGGCATTGAAATGAATGTCAAAAGGTGCCAGTGCTAAATTCATGATCATGCTCAGCAAACTGTTTTAATGACAGGTTTAATGCCGGGTTGTTACAGTGACATGACCAAAGCACTGTGGGTTTAATCTGGAGGGTAACGCTTGTGTGTTTCACAGACAGCAGCTCCAGCTATGCCCAGGAAAGCTGCCTGAGCTGCACGCCGGGTTGGCCACAGGGCAGTGCAAAGCAGCAGGCTGTCCGTGGTGATTAACAGGAGGTGAGAGCTAGGTAGCCAGGAAAAGCAGCTGTAGCTGCAGGTGCAGAAAAGCTACAGATGAAAACTGTCATCTTCTTTCACTGCTTGCTGCTCTTGATTTATTCTTGCTAGAAGGGTCAGGTTTGGAGTGGTTTGGCCCACTGCTCGCTTCTTGCGCTGTCAGTTCAGATTCGTCAGGATCTCAGCTGACAACACACGATTTAAGAGACAGATTTACCTTTCTGGATATCCCTTGAAGTCTGTCTATTCACCTCTGGCCACCGTTGGACATGGACAGACCACAAGTGTTTACTTTCTTTTTTAAAGGGCTGTAAGACACAAGGTGGAGCACTGCCAGTGGGATAACGCCGGTGTACACCCACCATCCTGCGAGGATAGAGACTAGAGGCAACCCCAGCAGAAGGCTCCTCTTCAGTCAGACTAAAGGTGCAGGCTGGTTTGTTCAGAAACCTGAATGCTGGGCTCTCTCAGCCATGGGCATGTACTCCCTGGCAGGTTACTCATTCCCCAGTTACTCCCATTGTAACAGAGGCAGGAGTTCTCACCACTCAAGACCACTCTCCTGAAATTGTGGTGTTTGCTCTAGCTGTCTCAAAAAGGCACTGTGAAAACTTTGAATCACATCCTGTACTTCAGTCAGTGCAACAATCCAAAGTGTGTCCCACCTTCAACCCATCCAGATGGTAGCTGCAGCCACCTGGTTATTTTGCAGCATATATATGTTTTGCCAAGAGTGCTCCAAGTTTGCAGCCTACAGGCAGAAGTTTGCAGAATTTTGCAGCTCCTTCCAGAGAGGTCAGCACCCACTGGCTGACCACCTTTGTCCTTCTATGTAACACTGGAAAACTGAGTATCTGCCAAGGCCAGGTCTGGAATCTGCCCTGGCTGGGTCCTGCTTGTCATTCTTTCCTCTGACATTTTTGTTTTAAGATGTGATATGAACAGCCTGGTGGATTGGACATTTGAACGTCCCCAAGGCAGACAAGTGGTGACAACACAGTACAATGCAGGCACGGGATTTGGACCTCAAAAACTTGCCAGGATTCAGTGGGGAACTGGATGTCTGCAGTAACTGGGCACCATTTGGCAAGGCAAAGGGAAACCCTTACCTCTGACTCGGACACTTCTAAGGGCTTCTCGTTCAGGCCCAAGCCCTCGCTCAGCACAGCTCCGTTGTACTTATTGCAGATATCCTCATCAGAGTAGTGCAGCCCCCCGGGGCTTGGGCGAGGAGGAGACCTAGGAGGTGTAAAGGGTGAGTGTATTGGATATTGTCATTCTCTGAAATGACACAATTCAGTCGTGCTTAGAAGCCAGAATCACAGCCTGTGGCAGTGATTTGGACTTAAAAGTCTTTCCTAGATCCTCCAGACAACAGGCTCTCCCCTTTGTCTATTTAACAGTTGCTCAAAGCTGGATAAAAACCCACTTTTAAGAGTGTGGAGGCTCCAGTTTCTCACCTTGTTCCATTCTTCTTTGAGAAGGTGCTCTTGATGTTCAGGTGTCTACTGTTGAGCTCCAGAGCAGTGAAGCCTCCATTATCCAGAGTGACTGACTCTTCCACGTTGGAAATGGTTTTACCTGGAGCCAGGCAATGACAGATTCAGCTGAAACAAAGGCACTTCTCCCCCAGTACAACCACAGGAGCTAACTTTGTCCTTCTTTGTCTTTTATCGCATCATTAATTATTTGAAAATCTTTTTACCTTTCTTACTGGAGAATGAGAACAATCAGAGTAAAGGAGAGGAACTTATCAAGAGTGTGAACGGGCAGAAGGAGCTAAAGGAGGGGGAAGGAGTCATGGATGAATGCATTTCATTCAGAAGTATCTAAAATAGCACAGATAAACTGTGCTCCAAAAGTGCTTATTCTTGTCTTTTGACTATGAATAGAAGCCAGGTGACTTATTCAGGTGGCCACTGAAGGCGTCCTAAATTAGATGCTGTGAATCCCAGTCATGCTGACTGAAGTGAAGCAAGAGAAAGTAAAACTAGGAAAGAAAGAAAAAGAAAATAAGAAAGGGGGTGGAAAAGGCAGGAAAGAAAGCAAGAGAAAGGGTAAATGGGCGGCAAATAAGATGCCAGGGTTTTTAATGAGGGTAAGACACAGATGTGAGAAATCACAGAACAATGTAAGGCAGGGAGAACAGGGCACTGGCAGAAGAGGGGAAAATACAGCAAAGTCTATTAATTCTTATGATCAAATATAGCAAGAGCTTATTCTCTCCCATGCTCATTCTCTGTAATCCCAGAGGTGGGAGCTCAGCTCATGGCCCAGGCAGGAGAACCAGTTGCACATTGCCACTTAGCAGCAGACAGGTCCTTTATCCTCAGCTTTAATTTCAGTGCCACATTAAGACCCAGTGTGAACACTGGTATCTGACAGTACAGGTCAGACCTGTCTTTTCATGTCTGTCCCCCAAACACAGAGCAAAACTAAGAAGGTGAGAGATTTCCTATGAGCTACGCATACAAATACATAATAGCATTAACTTGGTAAAATGCCACAGTATTCATACATCTCATATCTCATGGGACTGAAATCTGATTTTCTAACACTTGTTAGAACTGAATTATAAAGGAAGAAAAGATCTTCACTTTGGGAATGCCCGGAAGACTCCTTCATTACACTAATCCCTAATAACAGGTAGTGCAAAGACCCATCCACCTGACCCTACTCATTAATGGGCCTCTTTTTTTGGCATCTCCTGGCATCAGAGCAATTACTTGCAGAAGGTGGAGAAGGCTACCAGAGAAATGGACACCTGAACTACCCTTTCAAGACCTTATCATGTAAAGGGAAGAAAAGGTAAAAACAATATTCAGAGCTCAAGACTAGGTGTTTAGAAAGGGGACTATTTTAACACCCCTATATATAGAGCAGGTTGCTCCTGTTTCCCTTCAGAAAGAAGACTGGTAAAAATTGTAACTAAAGGAAAACTCAAATCTTGATTCTCGTTATATATCAAAGTCTAACAGGTCCAGACAACCAAGACACCTCCTAGCTGCTTGGCCCCCAGCCCAGCAATTGCAGCTTGGCTTAGGGAGTGGATGCGAGGTGCAGGACACACTATTTGATATGGGGGAGTTGTGATATAGGCCCCAGAACACAGACCTAGAATATCTGCGTGGGGTAGAGCCATGGAAAAGTAGAATCTTTCTCTTTTCTCCCATCTATCAGGGAATGATGAAAAAGCTAAATAAAGTCTCAGCTCACTCCTTTTTTGTGGTCTTCTGCCAAGTATTTGACCCAGACTCCTTGGCTTTTGCAGCAGTTGCTGGGACTTCCAGATGTTGCCCCACCCAAGCCCATGGCTGGCTAGCATCCAAAGCCTGATAAGATCAGGCACTCTTTGCCCAGCATGGCTATGGGCAAAAGCCATTTCTAACAAACCAGACAGCAAAAAGATCTGACTCTTTTGCCAAACAAAATACCTATAAAGAGAGCCCATGCTGATGAAATTAGGGGTTCGAAGGGAAGACGTTTTTAATTTCCACAGCTCTTGAGAGTGTGTGCACAGCACAGAACTGATCCCATGTCTTACCTGTGCTGCAGTTCTTGTACTTCTTGCTCTGGCCATGCAGAACCAATGCAAACACCACCAGGAGGATGAGGATCAGACTTGAGAGAGCCATCACTACCAGAAACCACCACTCCTCATAGAAAGGGGCTTCTGTTTGTGCTGAAAGAGAAGAAAACCAAATAATTCCTCTTTCTTCTCCTTCAGATTTTCTCTTCTTCCCCACAGTGAATAATGCATCTATAGTAGTGTTCAGGAGAGAGAGGTGTGCAAAGGAAGTAACATAGTCTAGTCTGCAGTCAGGGTTTCAAGGCATTTGCTGGCACTTTTAAGATGGCAAAGAGAAAGGGAGCATATCACAGCTCCAGCATCTTCGCATCCGTCTTTCACACACCCTGAGCAGCACTCCAGAGTCCCTTAGCTAAGAAGTCCCCATGTGAAGAGATGGAGGACTCTTCCCACAGCTCTGCACCTATGTATCTGGACTGCTGCACTATGCTTAGCACTCCCTGGGTCACAGGAACCATTAATATATCTGTCACAACCCAAGATTATTCCACATTTTAAGAGGCTTGCCTCGCCAAAATGCTGCTCAGTGGCTCTTTGAAAAATATAGCTAGTGCCAGGGAACAAAGTACACTTGGTTCAGTGCCTTTCAGTACCTCCATTAACTCCAACTTCCAACATTCACTGCTACTCTATATCATTTCCCCATCTGCTTAGCCAAGGCTGATGTGCAGCACAGGGGTATCAATTCATTAGCCTGGATTTTGTGTAATCTCGAGTCATTTCACCCAATTCGATCTCAACTGGAGATGCAAAATGATACTAACTTCTCCTTCATAGGGCTATCTTCCCAGTCCTGGTTTAAAGTAGTAAATATTGTTATTTTCTCGTGGTGATATTCACTTTGTAAGTATCTCTCAGCTTTGTGGGAAAAGAATGCTGCTGCTGGAGCAGAAGCCAGCAGTTGTACATAATTTCCCTGTAGCCCATAATGTAGAATAACACCTGGTAGGAATGGGTGATGCCAGGAGACCAGCTTCAACCCCTCACTATCCCTCAACCCAAGCACTCTCTTTTCCCAACTGTCTTGAGCCCTGGATCTAAGCACAAGTCTATGCTAAGCCTGATGATGTGATCTCCAGTTTGTTCCAGATCACTGGGTGTTCTGCAACAGTGAAAAGCAGCCACAATCTTCCTTTGCTAGGAATCCAGTCCAGGCCAATGAAGTCCTAAAGGTAAACTGCACAAGCCACGCTGGGATGAGCAGATTCAGTGCAATTTATACCTCCCTGTGCTAGCTGAAGTGGCCAGCCTAAAATGCTTTATGTTTTTTTGACTGTGAATCTCAACAGAAATCTCTTACTTTCACACAGCAATTTGAGATGAAGGCTGAAGCATCACAAGGAGGTGAATTAAATAGTTCTGTTCAAGTGGAGAACTTACAAACAAGCTGTTTATATATAAAAAGCATCACAAGGAGATGCATGCCCAGCTTCAGAGGAATAATGTCTTCCAGGACAGTGAAGACTGACGTGATTACTGACCCTTTACATTGTGTTATAGCCTCTGTGAAACCACAGATAGGAAAAACACCGACTCTGGGTGTTTGAAGTGGGTTGTCTGTGCCCTTGTCCTGAAGGAGAGGAGCAAGGGTAGCACTCACACTGAAATCCACAGACAGCTCTCACGGGCTAAGTGGTTAATTGTGTAAGGACAAATGCAGCCTCGATGGTGATAGCAGCATTTACTACTCTTGCCTGCTGGGTAACTGTTGAATGGTGTTTATGCTTTTCACTGGAGGAGCAAAGAGATAAAAGCCACTCCAGATACTGGAGCACTGCCAGCTTCTGGGGACTCTCTGGAATTTTGAATCACAAAGCTGCCTTATCAGGTTCTTTTACTCCTCTTGTCTCTCTTTGCTGACACAGCAAGGATGAAACCTATTGCTCAAGAGCAACCTGGAGTAGAGCTGTCTCTGCAAGGGTAAAAGGAGACCTGGGCAAAGCTTTCACCAGGACAAGTTCTCCCACTTCACAACAGGCCATTGAACGCCCATTGATCAGACGTGGCAAGCTCAGTGGAATTTACTTTTTGAGGTGTTCAGGTTCCTTCAGAAAGCCAGAGGGTTGGGCTGCTCAAAGGGATTTTGGAAACATGTTTAGGCCATAGCTCTGTTTACTGAGAACAAGCAGAAGAGAGCAGGGAGGGTAGGAAAAGCCTGAGAGCATCACCAATGAGCTGTTCTGGTGGAGGGGGTCTGGGGCTATCACACTGTACTGGAACTGCCAGTCCAGAGGATATCAGAAATAATTTTGTGAAACTACACTTCTATATTTTTGAGAGCTAAATATAAAATAACATGGAAAATGTTCATTAGAGAGCTCTGGGAATAAAAAAAAAGAAGCAGAGCAAACAAAAATATAGACTAGGAAAGGAGAAAAAGCAGACTGCAGACAATGCAACTTCATCTTAGGGCAAGAGAACTTACACACAAACAGTCTTGAAATTCCTGAGAAGGTCCTTTGCCCAACTTAAAAATGGCACACAGGCATTTTTCCTCTTGAGAGCAACACATACTGTAGTAACAAGCCTCAATTCACTACTGTATTACTCTGGTTTTATCCCCAAACAAGTAAAAGCAAGCTGCCCTCAATTACTTGTTGCAGCTAGAGAATCTGGGCTGTATTATTCCCCCTCCTACCCCCAACTCCAAAAAAATTCCATTAGAAAAGATGCTTTAAAAAAAACACGATTACCTGATACTGGCACAGAGGAAACACTTGGTTCTCCATAACCAAATTCATTGACAGCCACCACCCGAAATTCATAGGTCACACCCTGTTTGAGTTTGTCCAGGCCAACTGTATAGGAGGTGGCGCTGCGAGGGATGTCCTTCACAAACATATCCCACAGCCCTTCATCTAGGAAAGCAGCAAGGAGAGAAATGGCATGAACTGTGTGACTTGGCACTTCTGCTCCTTGAAAAACCCTGTCATTGAGTGTGCATTTCCACCACACTTACCTGAAGGCTGCTCAGTGATACACTCAACTGCCAGAGCGCCCTGCAAGACCCCATCTGCAAAGACGTGTATTCATGATGAGGTCTTATAATAACCCAGATGGAAGATGCCACCTCTGAAACCTGCGGGAGCACCCGGAGTGATCTGAGCTGGCTAGAGCAGCTGCCAGCCACCTGGGTTCCTCCTGACCAGGTAAGGTCACCACACCAGCATGCTGTTGTTTGGTAGAGCAAGTAAACCCAAAGCAACCTGCTACATACTGAGTCCTAACCACACAGGCTTTGCCTGGTTTTTCCACCTTGCAAAACTGACTTTGTGTGAAGTATGTATTCTAGGCTTTGCAAACGACTGGAGGATTTGGATCTTGACCTGTAATCTTACATTCACTTGACTGCAATGGAGAGAACCTTCAACAAGATGAGTGCTGTCACCAGTTAGAACAAACCCAGCTATAATTAAAAATGCCAGACAGTAATTTTGAGTGCAGGAATCAAACATTAATCTCAACGGACTGCTTTTCAGTAGCAATTGGTGTCCAGGACTTTTGCGGACAAAATGGACTTACTGTCTGTGCATGGGGCCAAACTCTCAGCTAACCTGAGCCGGCACAGCTCTTACAGATCTGACCTCACAAGTATCCCACTGGGCTTTTACTTTTAGCTATCAAAGCTGTTCAAACAATGTCTATTGTTCTCTGTGTGTCCCACAGTAATGGGAATACGATGACAACCTCTGTGTAGGTGTGACTCCAGCACAGGAGCTGCCTGCTTTGAAAGAAAGTCCTCTGCACTGTGAGATTCGAGCATCAGCATGACTTCCATAGCTCGAGGTGTTATCAAGGTAACAATAAAGCAGGAGCCAGCAGCACTACCCTCAGTGACTTGTTCCACTGCTGCAATGTAAGGCAGGAGTCTGTTCTCATCTGCTTTGCATTTACCTGAGTGTAAACTAATTGGAGTCACGGCAGCGATTCCAGAATTGTGCTGGTGTACCAGAGCAAAATTTGGCCCTGAGCCTACTTCTGTGCAGGAGGGAATAGCAGCAAAGATGGATTGATTAACACTGCAGGTGCATTTCCATGTGACTGTTTTAACTTTGGCATCAGTAAATATTGGCTCGGTAATTTGTACTGTGCTGCACGTCTAGCAACACACACAATGACTAACAACCCCCAAACTGCATCTTTTCTGATCATGAGGATTGGCAGTCTCAGCGGATGCAAAAAGCAGGCTGAAATGTTATTGTTCCAGCTACATTTGAGAAATACCACAGAACAATAAAAATAGGTAATTTTTCTGTCATGCTTAAAATTCAGACCAATACATTATTCACCAGCATGATCAGAGTATAATGAAGTTATCATAATGTACCATTGTTATGTATTAGTTGGATATTACAATGGCTATAAAACAAGAGATAAAATATTGACTTCCCTTTTACAGGGCAATAGAAGGCTAGATTATTTCTACCACGTAAACTTGCAATGTAATAAAAAGAGAGCTTGGGATTTAGCTTCTCTGAAGAGGGTGGAGTGAGGGATGCATTCTCAAAGTTAGATTGTTGCATCCACCAATACTGGGAAGATGCATCTCAGCCTATAAAATATTGCCATAATTGCTAGAATTGCCTGAGCTTTCATAAACACATTTGTAAACAGCAATAAGAGAATTTGAGCCCATTGTGAATTGTCTGGAAAGCAATTTGTTTGCATTGAAAGCCACTTAAATGGAGGAAGAAAGGCAACAATAAAAAATGAATGTTCAACAGTCCCTGCAACAAGCACAACTGCTCACACATGCACTTTCTCAAACCTATCAGGGTGCACGGTGCAGAATATCCAACAGGGTAAATTTAACCACTCTGTAAAACTTGCAGTAGGTTGGGAAAATGATCCTTGAGAAGTCAACTTTGCACTTCCACATGGATGTTCCCTTGGCTATGGTGGCGATGGTGTGGGGCAGCAAAGGCTGCGGGTGGATGTTTCCTCAGAGGTATTTCTGTCTCAAAAAGACTCAGAGTTGCTCCTGCTGGTGGCCATATCTTCTCTGACCCATCCCTCTGATTCATTGGAGGACTCTTTGCCCAAACCTTTTTTTCTGGTGTGAGAAACAGGACTTGGCCAAGATGGGACCTAGTGTGTGATCCCTGGGATCCCAGAGAGGTTCTGAGGGAGCTGCAGTGGTCAGAAATCTGCAGGGAGGCAGTCTGGGAAGAGGGACATCCTTATGTGTGCTCCAAGCAAATGCTATGCACACTATAGTCTGTGGCTACCCAAGCCCTGGCCAACAAGGTTTTTAATTCCACAGCCTCAATTAATTTATCTTCTCCCTATCTGGAATATTCAGGCCCTTCTTTGTAGATGGATATCACAATTAGATATACCCAAACTAAAAAAGCATTTTATTTCAGTGGTGAACTTTGAGATTCTATATTGAACACACACACACACACACACACACTTGTGAATTCATTCACTGCAGGTCTTCACCCTCAAAAGTAGGTTTGCTCTAAATGTTACAAGTTCAGCTGAAAGAGAATTCATTAGAAGGTCACCTGTGATAGCAAAGATTGGCCTTTAAGTTCAGGAGAAAATCATTAGTGCACTGTACACAGTATTTTTCACTCGGATCAGGAAGGAAAGGTGCACATGCCACGGTCGGGATATCAGCTGGGCATCAACTCAGAAACCACCAAGAAAAGCAAAGTTTGCAGCACAGGGAGGTGCAAGGCTCAGGCAGCCCCAGCCCATGCCTGGTTCAAGCAAAAGAGAGGCAGCACATCTGGCATCAGGGATGCATGTGTACTGCCTGCAGATGCTTTTTCCCTTTCTTCACTTCAAATTTTCTTTTGTTGGACACTCAGCTTCTTAAAAAGACCTAAATGTTTGATGGAAAAGGAAGGGCTCCAAAAAATTAGTTTTTCTTTGCTTCTTGATCCTATCAGTGCTTCACTAGATGCTTGCTGACATGAGATTTGATCTTTCTCTCTCTGCCTTGACTTCTCCATCCAATTTGGGAGTGAGGCACATGTATGGGGAGAAGATCAGAACGATGGGGAAGGTGAAACCACCTCCAACCTAACATGATGTCCAGCTTGCCGTGACCACCCTCCCGAGCATCGTGTGTCGGTGAGGAGCAGCACTGGAGGTTCCATCCACCCAGAGCACCCAGAGGCCAGCCTGGCTTCACAGGCAATTAATCTGGGTCTCCATGCTGAATAAAGCTGTCAGTCAGGAGGGAAGGCTCCCAGCTCTGCTAGCTCAGACCACTAACAAACCGCTGCCGAGCTGCAGCGATGGAAAGCTGTCAGTTATCTGGGTCTTACACACCAGCCTTGTCCTCTCACAGTGAAAGGAGAGTCGTCCTGCTGTAAAACTCTCTCCTAATTACACATTAGGAGGTTTATGAGGGGAGAAGCTGCTGGGAGTTAAGGACTGAACGCAAGTAGTGTTCCTCCTGCGGAGGACAAACTCAAAACGTGGCTGTGTTTGTCAGAGGGAAAGGGCTGGATTAGCATGGGAACAGGGGAAGGACAAGAATGGGAAGTGAAGGCTGACAAAGTGTCAGCCTTGGCACGTCGTTCTCCAGCAGAAGGGAACCAAAGGCCCCGTGGCAGATGCCAGCAATGCAGCTGCACCCTTCACTTCGAATTTGCTGACTTCTGCTGGTCTGTGCCCATGTTTGACACCACGCTCCCTCATTTGTTTAAAAATAAACAGAAAAGGAAGAAAACAGAAAAACGTTGCTCGAGACACCAGAAAGGAAACTAAAGTGAGATCTGCCCTGGGGGTGTGGAATGTAAAAACCAGGATTTCTGGGAAGGACAGTCCCCACTCCACGTTGACAGGTTCTTCTCCAAAATGTGTGCTGCTTTCTTGGAACTGCTCATCTAAGGGAACAAAAGAAAACACTTTTCTGACTTGTTTATATCCTAAGCTTATGATTTGTGGCTGATCTGAGTTTAACTGGCCCGTTCATGTCAGCCAGACTGCTAGAAATACTGTTATTGGAAGCACATTAAGATGCCATTCTCTCCCACTGGGCTTAAGCCATTCCCTGCTTGGGAAAAGCAAACAAACAAAATCCAAACTGTATGCTGGGGAGGGGAAGCAGAAGAGGAAATCTCTATTGTCTTGTTCTGGGTCAGAAGCTTTTCCTGAGGCAACAGAAGCCATGAAGCAGACTGACTGAACACCTACACGGCTGCCCAGCAGCTGGTGGCTGCAGCAGGCCAGTATGTGCATGAAGGTCTCATGCTGGCAGTTATCTACCCAGGTGCACTCCTGGCAGCACGGATCCCTAGGGCATTTACACAGCAACACCTCCTCTGTAGATAGGGCATAATTGGGAAGGCAACGCTGCTTGGTCCTTTACAAGCCACCTGTGCACCATTAAAGCAGAGCAGGGAGAGAGGAGTCTGGGTGCAGCATGGGGCTGGGTAAAGAGGGGCAAAACCAGCTTCTCCACTCTTCCCAGCAGCACTGGGAACCTTAACATCATTGTGCCATTTCTGTCTTTGCCTCTGGATGGAAAAAGTGAGGACAGGATCTAACACCTGCTGCTCAGCCAGCCTGGCTGGTGTCTGGGGAGTGCTCGTGGTGGCAGTGACAGAGGCTGCCCAAGTGCATTTCTTGTAGTGCACGAGGAGCTAAACCAGAATCCATTTCTCCAGGGATGGAGAACTTGAAGGAAAAGACAAACTCTTCTGTTTCTGTAATGTCTTCCTCTAGCACAGATCACTCTGGAAAACATATTGGTGTGTGTGCCTGCTCCATCCCTGTGTCTGAGAATATTCAAAATGCAGCAGAGGCAGTCAGTCTGGTCACCTTCCACAAACCCCGGAGAGAAATGAGGAGATCAAATGAACAATCTCAGCTGCCTGCTGCCACCATTGCTAAGCCCAGCAGGGTAGCTGGGGCCCTGGGAGACACAGCAGGGCACCGAAAAATTCAAAGGGAAGTGACAAAAGAGGGTAGGATTTGCCATTTCTGACAGAAAGCCACCCTCCCACTCTGATGGAAGAGTCTTGGCAGGGAGCTACAGCAGGGAAAATGAGATGATACAGCATTTAACGTTTGGGGTAATGAGGCCTATAATAGATGACACTTGAGATGTGAAACACTAAGGTAGTGGTATTGCATTTAAATATTGGCAACAAGCTAAAGCTTTTCATCTGTCTGTTCAATGCCCCTTTTTTGATCTCAGAAGGATGAATATCTTTTCCTTCCTTGATTTTATGTGAAGGGCACAAGTCAACTGCTCTTCTCTTGGACAACAACTCCTTAAAAACAAAGGGTGCTCCAATCCACGAGCTACTACCCATATAAATCAACGTGCAGAAGCAAATTCTTAGAACGATATTAAAACAGAAGGTGCTCTGAATGACCAGCCCTGACAGGAGAAATTAGTTCCCTGCTTTTGTTAGGCTGGTAATTTAGATTTCCAGCTCCTCCGTGCAGAGCTGAGGAAGAAAAGCAGCACAGAAAGGAAGCTGACGCTCGGGTGAAATAAGCCAACGTTCCAATTAGTCTGTCTCCTCTCCTGGATCCCATTTCACGCTCCCTACAGCTGCAACCAGGACGAAGAATGAGAATCCAGCATACAAATGCCTAGTTCATTTGCTACAGCAGCATGAATAGGATTAAAATAATCTGAAGAGGAATTAAATGCCTCAACAGTCAGGTTGCAAGAGCAGGAGAATAAGACTTGTTCTGTGTGTTTCCAGGATCAGTGGAGTGGGGCCAGCAGAAGTGACCCAGGGTTAACATAGCTCAGACCTGCCTTGGAGGGACTATTTTCTTCCTACTCAAAAAGAGTTGGCCACAAATCCTACATCCTTAGCCATCAATTGTAAAATGTTTTTTCACATCCAACAGGAAGACAAGCCCAGGAACATCAGATGAGTTCGCAGTGTCACCATGAGCTGGATTTCCAGCTTGCAGACAATCTGTACACTGGCTGTAGTCTTCCCTCTAAAATGCTCTTACTCAAAAACCTTTTCAGAGAAATTTAAGCTAGTAAGTGAACTTCAATGAACAGCTTTGGTTTAATGTGCTGTCTAAACAATGCTCTCCAAATAAGAGAGTATTTTCTACTTATGAAGAAATAGGGGCAGAAGTCAATAAGTCGACATACGAGAAATAGAAGCATGGCAGTGCCATGCCTCTAATTAAAAAACCCTCTTGATCTCTGTGGGAAACTCTGGTGCTTTGAGAAGGTACACACTTTCCTTGACTTTGCTTTGAAAACAACTGTCAAATTCAAGGACAGAAATAGGGAAGAAATTTTAAGGTCACAGCAGAGCCTTGCTACAGAGCAAACAATCAGATGTCAGCGATGACCACAGAAACACGGGCACTAATTTTGTTACTGGTCTGGTTCAATGTAATTAGACTCGGTGGTTTAAAATGCCACCTTGCATTCAAGACACTTGCAAGAAACAGGATCCTTTATATAATCAAACAGATAAGCATTCCTTCATCAATCTATAATCAAGCAATGTGCAGGCACCTATAAGTAAAAAAGGAAAGAACAAGCAGCCAACATGGATACGTCAAGTATAAATCATGTCTAATTTCCTTCTGTGACAGGGTAGCAGACCTTGTCAATAAAAGAGTAAGAGCAGACATCATCTATCCTGACTCCAGCAAAGCTTTTGACATCGTGACATTCAAACATGACCTACGTAAAACAAGTATCTGGTAGATGCATCACTGGCTGGAAAACTCTACTCAGCAAATGGTTATCAACATTCAGTGTCAGACTGGAGAGAAATTATCAAGTGAGATTACACAGGGGTCTAGCAGCATTCACTTGTTTTTCTTAATGACTTGGAGCCTTTCTTAATGACCAGAAAGTGTGAGTTTATTGAGTTTGCAAGGAGTATCAAGCTGGGAGAGGCTGTGAGCAGGGTGGAGCATATGCCTGCTTTTAAAATGACCTTGTCCAACTGAGGAAATATTCTGGAAGAAGAGCAGAGCAGGTTCAGTAAAACGCAAAAATCCCAGAAACAAAGGAGCTCTGAGAAAGCACCAAGCAAAACTGTGGTGATGAGGGGATTCCTTTTCTCCCTCTAATGCCCTCCCTGCAGAACAAATGAGGAAAGCAATGTGTGTATGGTGCTGAAGTCCTAGCCTGATTATTAACAGTAAAACATTAATTAGCTGTTGTGTTCTGCTGCAGAAGAGGACAGATTTCTATCTGTGGTCCTCAAAATACAGCTTGCAATTACTTATTAGTCCTTGTGCATTAAAGATGCTGTAAGCATTTAAATGAGTTTTAATTATTAACTGTATTAGCTCATCAGTTAGATGATTTACCAGTGATGTAGCACAGTGAAAGCCAGAGCACTCAGGGTAATTTTCTGTGACTATTCCTAAACAGGAGAAAATCTGCTAAACCACATAATAAACCAGCAACTGCTTTAATACTGGCTGGTGATAACATTCTCTCACAAACTCCAGTACCTGTCTGGGACAACAAACAACCTCTCCACTGCAGGCTGGCTTTCAGCATGGGCTGAAGGAAGGGAACTCACGGCATCAAGCTCTCAGTGCTCCCCATGGCTTACCTGAGGGTCGTGCCTCTATAATGTAGCCAGTTGTGGGTTTTTCTCCTGAATCTCCCTCAGTCCACTGTAACGTCAGCCCAGAAGCAGATTTTGTCACTAGAATTTCCTGAGGGGAGCCGGGAGACCCTGAAGGAGGAAATAGGAATAGCAGATGGTGGTGGTATCACGAAGAGGCTGCACTATTCTTCATTTCTCCTACTGATACAGGGGGAAAAAAGTATCTAGAAATATTGGTTAACATAGAGGCAACATAAACCAGCTCAGTGGGCTATTGACTGGAATTTTTCCCTAGTTGTGCTACCAGCAGTTACATATGGATGGCTGGGTTTTACAGATACCTGAGTTAAGAACAAAAGACAGATAACACACTCATTTTAACCATTAGCACATCCGCAGCATTTGCACGTTGCTTCAGAGATGAACCTAGTCTCGGAGCTTCAGAGAGAGGCTGGTGGTGACAGCTGCCTGCCCATGGCCATGTTACAGAGCAGTCCTGCTTCCCATTGTCTGTGGTGGGCCATCAGAGTTAACTGTGGATTCACAGCACTGCTGCCCCTGATAACGGCTGTGGAGGACACTGTGATAACATGAAAGCTTGCTGGCACCCAGAAGGGTGGAATTACCAGACATGGGAGGCAAAAAACAGAGATGTGACCATTGCATTGATGTTCTGTGATTGAGTGGACAGGCTTGTATCATTGGAGGACATTATCAGCTTATCAAAATCACTGATCAAATAACAAAAAAACCCATCTCTTGGCACACACATTGAACCAAGCTGGTGTTCAGGCTGTAGCTCCTCCTGACAAATCAGGAAATTCGCAGACTCTCCCTCTGCATAAGCCAAAGTGTCAGGAGAGAATAATTGTAAATTATTTCTGGCTTTACATCCAGGAACCTCTGCTGGTTTCAGCGGAGTTATTCCAGTTCTGACTCCAGTGTACAGCAGTACAGTTAGAATTATGTACCACGCAGTCAGGCTGCAGCTCTGAAATCCCTGGCTAGCCCACTTGTCCTATGATTTACTCACACTGTTTTGTTTATTCACATTGGACTTCTAGATTTCAGGAAAAAAGGAAACATGTATTTCACGGGCAGTTGTGAAAGCCACTGAATCATGTCCTGAGCTCCTGTGACTGAACTTCTCCTTGGCTTGGGAATCCACGTGAAGCCCTGAGTGCACTATTCCCTGCTGTTGGAGCATGTCTGTGTAACTGATCTGGCTTGCAACATGCCTTTATGGTTCCACTTACCTTCTGCTGGCCCAGCTGTGACGTTGGCTTGCAGCTCAGGTCCATAGGCGATGGTTCGGGCTTGCACTCTGAATAAATAGGTCATGCCCTTGGTGAGATCTCGGACCTTCAACCAGCGCTGCCAGTTCCCTTTGATGTCCACAGTCACCACCTTGCTCACCCCTAGAAGAGACATGCAGTTAAAAATAAAAGAAGGTTGCAAGGTTTAAAAAAAAAAAAGAAATCAAGTGGAGCTTATTACATCTAGATAGTAAGTAAAATTATCTAACAGTTTGCTAAGAAAGTATTTCTTACAATTAGCAGGAGTTTAAGCAGTGATAATAGCCAATTTTCAGCACTGATAAGTATAATTAGAGTTTAAGCTTGATAAGTGGGTACTGACAAGAAAAAAACCTTACAACACAACTGGGAAATTACCAAGAGACTTCATGCAACTTCACTAATTACTCAGGGAAGAAAGGAGGAGGTAAATGAAGGGGACTGCACGTTGCAGATTGCTTCCTAAACAAGCATTCCTCCACTGCTGCTTTGCCAAGCAACCTGCAACATTGCCTGGAGGAGGAAACAAGGACCAGGCTCTTCCCTGTCATTTTGTCCTGTCCAATTTCACCAGTGCAGAATGAGGGATGTGTATCAACCAGGTAACTTGGGGTTATGAATGCCACCACAATAGGGAATGCTCTCAAAGCACTATTAGCTTGGACAAGGTTGAAGTCATCACTTGTGTTTCACTCCTCTCGCTCTCTAAGAATTTTTCTTACATGGATGAGTTAAAATCAGTACTGTTCCCTTCATCAAGGTTCATAGCTAGCTTCACATTTAGGTTCTCAATGCTGCATAAAGGGCAGAGCAGCAATGAGTCCTTTGAAAACAAAAAAAAAATCTATTTTTCACAGAAATTTTCCAGAAGTCAGTCAAGGTAAAGAATTTGATTTATACAATATTTTACTGAACAGAAATGTCAAATTTACAGAGTCCTTTTGGCATTTTTCTGGTTCTGTAGATGTATACAACACATTTCAAACTAAGAAGATAGGAAGTGGGAGAAGGTTCTTCCCACTAGAGAAAGCTGCTTGCCAGTTTATCTTTCCAGAAAAATGCAGAAGGAAGATGTTTTTCAACCCAGATGCTTATTTTATGCAAATCAAGATGATGCTTTCAGGTTTTATCAGTTAAATAAAGAATAATGTCCAAGCGATTTCTGTTCAAAGTTTTCTCTCAGATCCCATTTAGAAGTCAGGGAATCTTTCCTTGGTTAACGAGGAAGCAGTAAAAGTGCTCCCTCCTTCCCTAGGTGTACTATTTCATTTCTCTGAGACAAATCAGGAAGCATTTGTCATTTTGAAGTTATGTTCTGAAAAAAAATAAAAAAGGAACTGTTAAAAAAGGCTCCAGGGCAATTTTGTTGTCTATTATCGTGTAAAACATCACACTGTAAAGCTTAAACAATAAAAGGTCAAACAGGGAGAAGACTGAGGTAAAGAACAGATCCTTGTTAGAAAGTTGGGTAAAATGCAGAGGTTTTAAGCAGTGGCTTGTGGCTGGGAAAGCAGAAGGTGTCACAACGGTGAGGATGCTCAGGTAAAAATCACAAATGGATATAAAGTCAAAAGATGCAGCAAAAAAAAAGCTCCAGGGAGTCTGGTCCATCCACGTTGGTGCATTGTACTGCTGGTATGGAGGAATGTGAGACCTTGGGCTGGAAGGACTCTCTGGGATGGTAGGGTCTGGAGGCTGCTGGCCCCACAAGCCTCTCTGCATGCATTCAGCACCACTATGTGCTCCATCTTCAAATGGGTTTGGCTTTACCTTGCTCTCTAAATAAAGGAGCATGGCTTTTCTATTGGAGGAGAATGATGGCATTATGGGATTACTGCCATGGCAGGAGAATAAGTATGTTGGCTGAAAAGAAAATGCTGGCACAAGAGCAAATGGGTAAAAACTGGAAAACAAATTTAGGCAGAAAGATAGCATTTTGAGGAAAAGCCCCCCATCTCACATCAGAAATCTTCTACAGGGGAAGGAGAGACAGAGTCAGAGATAGCACAGGCAAAAGTGGGGGAGAGAAGAGAAGAAAACAAAGATTCTGAGGATGTTAAGTCAAATGCATGCAGAGAAAACATGATCTGACACTTCCATACTTTCAGGGGAAAAAATTGTATTCTTAAGCATTGTGTAGGAATGAATAAAAGGCAGGAAATGCCCAAGGAGCCCGAACCTCCTGCATACCCTGTGCACATTTCTTGGTCAGAATGAGAAATACTTTCTGCATTAGTTCTTTGTGCTCAGACCTGCCAGCTCTAAAAGCTGCAAGTGCTTTTATTCTTGTGTTTTCATTCCTGAATATAACTTTCTCAGTGCATGAGACATGGATATTCAGACAATACAGATCTTTATTCCATAGAGAAGAAGCAAATACAGGTGATTGATATCCTTATTTCTTTGGAAGAGAATTTAAAATGGATTGGCAATGGCTGAAATTACTCTGCCTGCTGTCACACTGCCAAAGCTGGACAACCCATTGAACTGTTGGCAATCTACCAGAAATATAAAAATATTAATAAGACCATCCACAAACTTTGTGGTCTTTTCTAATTCACCTTTGCAACGAATTTCCATTTGTTTTCAGACAAATTGCCAAATCCTTCTCTGTTGTTATTCTGGCAAATTAATGAAACATTTGTGGCCACTCCATTGTGGTGGTCTAGCTTAAATGTAGTGCTCAGTTAAAAATGCTGCTTGAAAACCCCACGTAAACAGACACAACTGAATTCCTCTCACAGTTATTTTCCCCTGTCAAAAGCAGCAATGGTACCAGTGATGACTAGCACATTTGATGCCCGGGCCACCTTTGTGACAACAGAAGTGACACATGATGTGATAAGTAACACAAATGTGTCTGATGACTATTCTGGGATGGAGCCTAGTCAGCAATTTCAAAGTGCAAGGCGAGGAGACAATCAGGCACTCTCAGGCTGAGTTCCCTCTTCCCCCATACCAGGTAACGACGGCCATAAAATGACTTTTCCAATCATACAGAATATAGTTTGTGCAAGAAAATGAGAGAGGGCAGACAAAAGCTATATTCCACAACATTATAGTTTGCTGAATAGTTTTGGCAAAGGTGGAATTGTTTTACTTACCCTCTGCCACCTGGCTTCTCTTGGAAAACAGCAGAGAGCAAGTAGGAAATTGGGCAGAGATAAAAGATACTACAGTCCTTTTCTGTCGTTTCCCCATGAATATGTATGATTGGAGGTCTTTCTTACCCTGGACAGGAGCCAAAGGCTCGTAGACTACTCGATAACCCTGCAGGACTCCATTTGCTGCTGTCGGCTCGCCCCAAGACACATTGAGTGTAGTGCAAGTGATTTCAGAGAACGCCAAGAAGCTGGGAGCACTGGGTGCTGAAAGGATGACAAATAGATTGAATTGCAGTAGGAGTAGTCAGTCTGATACATGCACATATTATGAAACAGTGGCTTATTTGCCCAGCCTAAATCTAAAGGAGACAAGCTGCGAATGGGATTTGTCAATTGTATCCAAATGTCCTGTAATCAGTCAGAAATCCAGCCTGTCCTAAAAAAAACAGCCATTCGGCTGCAAAGCTAAGCCTTGAAAGCAAGCAAGGAGGTAGAACACAGGAGGGAAAGGCTCTCAGAAGAGTGCTCTGTGAGCATACAGCCCGAGTGCACACCACTTCTTCAGAGCCACCAACAAGGGCATTGCCTTCCCCCTGTGCTGGAGCGTCGCTGCCACGGTCTTGTCCAGCACAGAGCTCACTCTGACTGGGTGGATGCTGCTGATCCAGCTTTTTAAAAAAAAAATAAAAAAAATAAAAAAAGGAATTATAAAAAGCACAATAATTTTCTCACAGGACTGTCTGGGCAATTCCCAGGCACTGGAGATGAGTTCCTTTGGATTTTGAGATGCAAGAGCAGAGATCAGAAACAGACCCACAGTTTCCTTCTGGACCAGCTTGTGAAGGTTCTGCTCCTTCCACCAATTCATTCTCATTCCCTCTGTACCTCTCCCTCTCCCACCTGATCTATTTATTTAATCCCTTTTTAGCCCTCCAAGACCATTACAACGTAACGACCCATCCGAAAGCTAAATCTAAACACCAGCACCCTCCTGCACCCACCCATTTCCCGTAGCCAGCGTCCAATTACGTGCTGGTCATCCCCAAGTCTGGGCTCTGAGACAAGACAATGGTCCCATACCTGCCTGGAGGGTCCTGCCCTGGGAGGGGCTGCTCCTGGGGCCGTCCCCGGCCGCGTTGAAGGCGGAGATGCAGACCAGGTACCGCGTGTGGCTGGTCAGGTTCTTGAGCCGCACGGTTGTCTCTGGGAGGAAAAGGACCTTCACCTTCTCCGTGTCGTTTTGGACGTCGCTCTCCCAGTAATAAATCTGTCGGGACAGAGAGATGTTTCAGTATATCCTACTCGTAGAAGACATCTGGGCATTGCAGCCATTAAATATGAGGGAGGTGGTGCAGTCTTGCTCTGGACTCCTCCATAAATGGGACACTGATGCTTTTCACCACAAGCCCGATCTTTTCTCTTCCTTTGGCAAATTCCCCCGAGTCCAGTGACCATGTATAGCTGAGTATATCACTCAAAAATAGAGCACAGGCTGAAGAATATGGCCTAATGACAGCAGATATGAGCTGCCAGAGTTCAGCGATGAGAGGTCAGTTTTTAAATTCTCCCTGAAATGCTAGCTGCCTGTCAGCACTGGCATCCTGCTATGATGGTCCCTAATTCACCTCTGCATGCACAGAACAATTTCACCAGTTCTGTTCACAGGACGGCCAAGCAAATGCCTTCCTGAAGAGGGTAATAAAGACTTTCCCTAAAGTTCCTTGAGGTACTCTTCCCCATTCTTCCCTTACATAATTTTTATCCTGAGGCCATAAATTTAGGCATTGGAGAAGTCATTTCCAAGAGGAAAAGTGGTGCCAGCCCTACTTATTGGACAGGCCTGGCAGTGCAAGCATTACAACAGGCCAAAGCAAGCCAGAAAGTTGAGAGAATGAGCCAAGGCAAGACTCCACCTTGGCTCTACAAGCCAAGCTGTTGGAGCCATCTATATGTGTACAAAAGGGAAAGAACATGAATTGATATATAAGGATGCTTGCTACTGCCAAGAAGGGATGCCAGATTATTCACATTGGCTTGGCTTTTCTTTGCTTATGGACCTAAATTCATGGAGAGAGGCAGAGCCAGACACTGAATCCAAGCCAAGCTCCAGTGTTTGTAGACTTGCCCATTTCCACCCTCTGAGGGTCCATTCTCATGCTGGAGAAGCTGAACAACATGCCTCAGCAACGTGCTCATCGCCTATGAACCAAATGCAATTAATACTATGATTTAATTTTGTTAAAGTTAAGGAAATGAAATCATTCTTCCAAAATCTGACCTGGCTCAGGCTTCTAGCTTGGAGAAAGTTTTGCTTTTCCTAGTGGCTTGTAATATTTCATGGATAGAGAGCTCAGTTAATATTCTTCAAAACATTTGTTGCCCCTAGCTCTTGTAGTTCTGTTGCTTTTTGGAGCAGATATGTTGCCTCCTTAAGTGGAGCTGCTTCCTTATCTGCATACCCTGTTTCCCCATGCTCTCCTTCTCCACAAACAGCAACACACTTTTCCTTTTCTCTCTGCCTTTGCCAATCTCATTCTCTTTCTTTTGGTTTTGGGACTTGGTGCCATCTCTGCACTGCGGTCTGAACACTTTTAATTTGTGCTATGCAGTGAGGGCAACTGTAGCTTGTGGAGCTATCTCACAAGTAATAGCAACACTGAGCAAGATAAATAGAAACCAGTAGAAACAGAAGAGTTGCCTTGTAGCCTTGGATGTTCCCATTTTGGCTGTCGGCAGGAGGGGGGTCCCAGGTGAGCTCCAGCTGGCTTGCAGAAAGGGAGTTTACTTGGATGTTCTGTGGGGCCAGCGCTGGTGCTGGAGAGAAAGAACAGGAGAATTAATAGTGACAAGCAGAACCAGGTTGCAATTTGCCATTTGTGGAAGGACCCAGGGCAGACTCTGTTCATGCCACAGGTCAGTGACCCGAGTCAGCCCTGGAGGTAGCCGGTCGCAGGGAAGTCTCAGCACACGTGGACTGAGGAGCAGCTGAGCCTCCGGGTGTGGTTCTGTTCTGTCCCACACAGGCTGGCTCAGACACTGAATCAACTCAATTCCTGCCAGCAGCTTTGGAAAAGAAAGGAGAATTTTGTCCTCGTTCTATGGTAGTGTTGGGGGCTTGCCTTTGGCAGTGACACTGTGCTCCAGACCAACCACTCCTGAATGTAACTGGGGGCAAGGCAGCCCCCTCATCACCACCAGCCTGGCCTCCCACTCAGCACTGAGCCTCTGGGACAGTCTCTGTGCAAGGCTCCGAGACTCAGGGCCAAAATACTGTCTAAAATCACATCCAAAACGAATCACATGCTCATCAATTCAACTAATATTATATGTATGACAAAATGATTTTCTGTTTGCTACTTGTTAGCTCTGCTTTGATTACACCTTCAAATATACACGCCAGTCCTTTTTGCAAGGGATGGCATTTCTTCTTTGCATTGTGTTGTGCTAGAGAACTGCTCTTGGAGTGCACCTGGGTCACCCCATCCTTCCCTTTGTCAAGATCCAGCTTGGTGCAGGTGGATTTCCTTCCCCAGTGGGTAGCAAGGACGCTCTGTTTTCCCGACCTGCTGTCTCTGCCTCCGGCACCTCCTAACAAAAAGGACGTGTTTTGTTTACAGAAGAGGTGCCGAAGCGTGTCCTGTTCATACTCCAGAAGAAGGAGGAGAAAGGCAGGGCAAAGGGTCCACTTCTCCTTTCTCTGTGCTCATGGTGCTGTAGCCTTCACCCAGACCACCTGAGAAAGCTGCTTCTTTTCTCTCTGCCCCTTTATGGGCCATAAATAGAAGTGATAAAACACTCACTACTCCAGTTGGATAGCCCGGGTTATCTGTTCCTCTGGAGACTTCTTTCTTTAGAGACAATGACCTTCATAAGTCACACTTTTCTACCAATACTCCCCTCCCCTCAGAGTTATAAAATAAAATAGTAATTAACACCCACTCAGCCTGACACCAACTATTTATTTTGTTCTAACTGTGTGGTTTCCATATTATCACTGCCCACCCTGCCGTTAATGGAAATGTTAATAACCAGCGCCAGGTTGTTGTGACAGATGCTTGGGCTCATTATCAGAAATTCTTATTTACCGCTCCATTAAACGACAGAATCGCACAAAAAAACAATTCAATCAAAACTAACTGGAGGAATTTTAACAGCCACATTAATAATCCAAAACATAAATAAAGTTAATGTCTTTTGCATGTTTGCCATCGGCGACTCTATTGCGAAATTATTGCTGTACAATTAAAACCTGAAAGGTAAAATCGAAAATAGCCTTTATGCCAGTGCTCAGTCAAAACTATTTGTTTATTATATTTTCTTGGTTCCCTTTTTGATTGGACGTAGCAAATGCAGGAGGTGACAATGGCCATCAGTAAAATACAGTTTGTTCACAGGGGTGCCCTCCTCTAATCGCTGCCTTGACTCCTGCATTTTGCAGGAGCATAAGGAGCAGCTGCTTTCAGAGCAACTCAGTGCTATTCCATCAAGGACCAGAAACCTCAAGATTTTGAGACTTTCACAGCACACATCAGAGTGTGAGGCCAAACTGATCACGCTGTATGAAGCTGAAGACACATCTCTGAGATTTGCAGATGATGACACGCTCAGGGAAATACAAATACATACAATCACAGAAGGAAATGGGTTGCTTTAGCAATGTGTTTTCTCTCTAGGATGTGACACTACTGTGTGTCCTGAGCTGACAAGCTTCAAAGTGCTCTCAATATCCAGGTCTGAAGCAGTGTCTACAATAGCCTTTTTCTTTGGATCCCATGTGCCAGCCTGCACCAATTGCTGCTCCCCAGATGTGGTCATTAGAAGAGCTGGCATGCGCAGCTTGCTGCCAGAAAACCACCACTTTCCCCCAGTCCCTCTTGGAGCATGTCTAAGAAACACAATGGTTAAAAACTGCCAGCTAACGTTCTCCACTGACACTCTCGCTGCTGGAGTTGCACTTTTGCTGGCAGGGTGGTGGAAAATTTGATGGGAGGAAAGAAATAAAAAAATTATGTGGAAAAAGACATTTCTCTTTGCTACCCCAGCGCCTCACCGAGATGCAAATTGTTTGGTTTTGTGCCCTGTGAGTCTGTCCCTCTGTTCAACTTTCAAAGGCTGATGTGTGCCTCCTCTTCCAAGCAGAGATTTCTTGTTGACAGCAAGGGACAGCAGAAAACTGCTGCTGACGCTTGACGCGGCTCTGTGCAGACAGCGCGTTACATTAAGGGTGAAATGAAATACTTTAAAAAGAAGGAAACACATCCCTGAAGACTCTTTACCTGTTTTGAAACCCCAAACCATTTACTGAATATACGGACAGCCTCTGCCAATAAAAGCAAGTGCATCTTAAAGGTGAATTCAAACGCCTTTTACGTTCTAGAAATGCAGTTCAAGATTACCGACCTCTGAATTTTTTCATGGCTGTTGAAATTGTGAATGCATAAAAAGCAAGGTTAAAGCTGCACACCTCACACTGCTTTAGGTGTTAGTGACATTATCAACTAGAGCAGGAGTGACACAGACCCAGAGGGTCCAAACTCAGCTCTCGGCAGGTGGAAAGCATTTCACTTTCCCTGAAAAAAAAAAGTGTGTGTTTGTGAAGTCTAATTCTGTGCACGTATCCTGCCTTGGAATCTCATGCAGACATTTGTAAACATCTTGTCTGATTTCAATCCACCTTTAAAACTGTCTCCTTGAAACTCTTTCTCAGCCAAAGTGTAAGGAGAAAGGCTGAACAAGTCGTACAGTAATTACTGAAAACCCACTAACATCTATGGCCTGGGACGATGTTGGGATCACATAAAGGCGACAAATCTACCTGGAAATGCAGCGAGGATGTTAAAATGAGCCCATGAATAAAGTTACACATCTAAATCCACGTTTAAACACATCCCTGCCCTCATTTTCCAGTTGGGCTGAACAGCCTCTGCTCACACTGCAGTCAATTTGAGCTTGCAAATGCTTATAACCTTTGAAGAGAAGGTGCTTAAGCTCCCCGGTGGCCTGCCCGCACCGGAGCTCTGTGCACTGCAGAAGCTTCACCTCAGTTTTTCTTGCTGCTTGCTTGGGATATTTGCTCTCTAGGCTGTGTGGCACTGAGAGCTTTTCATCAATATGAGGCTCCTATTCCTTTTCTTAGTGACAGTTGCCGCGATGCTCTGCGGCACAGGTAGGCTACAAATCCTTGTGATTCATTGGGTAAACTTAATAACTTTTTACGGAGCATTCCTTGCTGCTCTTCACATCTGCTCCAAGTTTTGGGTGGCAAAGGATTTCTTCTCTACTGATTTTCTAATTGTTTCTATAATGCCAGCGTTATGTCGACAAATTCACAGCTCTAGGACAAGATTCCCTGACAATCAGGCCATTTAAATAAACATACAGGGGAAAAAAAATGAGGAGAAAAATGCAGTGAAAGAGACTGAAGATTTTTTTTTTGTACATCAGCTTGATCCCACAGTTCCAAACAATCCCAAGCAAATTTCTGTTTTGTAAAGACCTCTGATCCTTTTCTATCTAGCGAGCATTTTCCCCCAGTTCATCAAAGCATGCTTTTGTGAACATGCCTGCTTTATTCCCTAGTAATCAATATATTTGCATTTTGGTGTTAGCACCTAGAGGCCAGAATCTCATTGCACAATGTGTTGCATAAACACAGAACAAAGAGACAGCTCCAGGCCTAAAAAGCCTCTAATCTGTATGTCTACACATTATAATGGAGTGGTGGTTGCAGCATGTTCTGATTTATCAGCTGGAATCTTATCTACCTAGTGAGCAACAACAAGAGAGGAGAGACAGCAATATTCAGTGTAGCATGTGCTGACTATTAAAGCTTGCACATGCAGCACCTCCAGAGTTTACACACTGGTTCCTGGCACACACGGTCATGGAAAACAGAGCTGGAAAGGATCTGGAGAAGGCTCAGACAAGGTTCATCCTCCTGCATCACACCAGGATCAGCTTGGCTGGTCAGATGTTTGTGTCATCTTATCACTGATCTCTTTCCAGATTCCTTGATCATCCCCACACCAGCTCTGCCAGCATATCTCCATTTTAATAACTCTTATAATATCAGATTATTATTATTATTTTTAACTATCTAACCTAAACCATCCTTACAGTATTGAAGCTCTGTCCCTGCGGTGGCATGAAGAGCAGATTGTTTCTTCTGTTGCAGCCACTGGCCTCAAGTTATGGTGTAGATAAGCAACAGTCAAGTGGATTGTAAAATCCAAACCCAACAAAACAAACAGAAGGTCACAAGATAAAACAGGGAGACTGATCTGCAGAATGGGCAAAGCAGAAGGAAAGGGGTTTTCTTACAGTGTGGGCACAGAGAAGGAATGCAAGGATAGTACCTCCCCAGAAAGAACAGAAAGTTGTGTCTGCTGTTTACAGTCACTCCTTCCACGAAGGAAAATCAGCATGAGAGAAAAATGTTCAGTCTTTATTGGCAATTTTCTTCCAGGGTCTGCTAAAGAGAGGTGGGAGCTGGGAAGGCTTCGCCTGTGCGGCAGCTCCTCGCACCATCAGCAGTGATGCGGGAGGGAGGCTGATTAGTTCAATAACAATTAGTTAATTGTGCTTTAAAAACAGCTACTGCGAAGCTGCTTTCTGCTGTGACAAAGCAGCACAAGCTATATTTAGAACGTAAAAGATGTTTCCCACCAATTTCTGGCTGGTTGAAGCTAGGCTACATTTTGTGAGGAAAGACTGTGCTTTTTCCAAGGACTGCGCCTCTTTGGGTTACTCAGATGTATTTCAGATGCAAGAAGACAGGCAGACCACATACAAAAGGTGTGGGTCTCAACCCCTCC